AACATTGGGCATGATGCCGACAACAGATCCGACCACGATATACACCAGGCAGCTTACGGGAATGTCGCAGCCGGGGCTTCCTTCCGGCCCTCAGCTTCCGGCATACATGAACGTCGGTTCTACGGTACAACACCCTCCCACCGCCCCGGACCCGACGACGCTGCTGCTACAAATGCAGCAGCAGATTGCTTCACTAGCGGCGCAGCTAAACCAAGCTACGCTCCAAGGTGGGCACCGACCGGGCTCAGGGGTATTTACCACTTTGACGGAGGACTATGCGACCCCGAGAATGCAGCGCTCGCCCGCCGATTCACGGTTTCCCTTTCCGCCGTGGATTTTAAGTCAGTTGCCGGAGGTTATGGATGTAGAACACATGTTGTTGCATGATTTCCGCGCTCTACCTGAATGGCGGGAATTGGAGCAAGCGCAGCGCGCCCATCCGGATCGTGCTGGTTCGCTCCTTTACGAGTTCGGCATTATCGTGACGTCGTTGGCCATATCAGAGTTGGTTTGTGTAGGAATGGAAGCGTTAGCGAAGGCGTTGCTTTACGGTGGCATGCAAGATGCTTGTCAGAACGCGTGTCAGAACGCGCTCGCGACGCTGCTCTACGAAATGCGGTGGCAATCGTCTATTTTGTCGGCGCGCCTGAACTGCTTAACGACTTTCAGTAGGCAAGGTCGGGATGGGTTGAACACAAAAACAAGATAAGCTAACCACGTAGCGCACGTCCTGGATGACATTAGAAGATGCAGGTTGCAGTACGTTGAAGATTAATCAATCTGTTATCTGTTGGGTATTGGCATTTTTCTTTTTAAGTTCTTGTTTCCAGTTCGGCGGTTCATGAGCCTTGAGGCTCGTCTGGACCGTACAAGCTTGAAGCTTGTAACAAAAAACGTCAAATAGTCTCGCTATTCGGTAATGCCAGCACTATAGAAGCTCAAAGACACATAACTTGCACAAGATGGCCCTGCCGCAAATTGTACCCGTATCCTGTCCGTTGTGAAGTCAAGATGGCAACGTTACCGGAATGCCTCAAAACGTTTCCTGACGTTCTGGCGCTTGCCAAAGAACATTTTGAGGCTCACCTGGTAGTTGGTTATGGATCCCGAATTGGATACGATGACATCGATGCCGTCCTTAAAGAGCTCCGACCCTGGCTGAAGGATGTGCAGGCGCGTTGTGGCGATAAGGTAGCAGTACGCTTCCCCCCCATGCCATCGCGACAATGAACGCCCTCGCAATATCTTGTCCTTAACAACAAAGCCTCCTTGAAATGATCCAGATTTCTATGGGCCCCCTTCCCCCCCACCTCACCCTGGTGCTGATGTGTGGGACAGGGGGGGGCATACCTTCACCCGTGGCCGCTATCCGGCAAAACCCTGTCTTCCCCGCTATTTAGGGGCACCCTCATCTAGTCACCCTAGTCAACTTCTCAATGGATCGCTCAGATTCCGCACCCTGCTGTTTGTTGGCCCTGCTGTTTGTTGGCCAAGCACCCTCTTCCCTCCCCTAACATTCCCTAACTCCTAAGCGAAGCTCGCTACCAATTAATGAAACAGCACACCATTCACCCTCATGGACTCTTTACCCCGTACCTATCCGTCCATGGCCATTTGGCCTTCAATTCGAACTCCCATGGGGATAATTCCTGCCGTGCAGCCATGGCTTCTCATCTACGGAGGCGACCCAGCCCAGCCAGATGCCCCAGGCGTGGGGTTGCTGGTGCAGCGCCTGGCGGAGGCAGCGGCGGCAGCAGCCACAGCACGGCCAGCACGCTGCCATGTGATGGCACCACTTGTCAGTTCGAATTCTGATCCGCCGCAACCCCAGGACTTTGTAAGATACTATTACATGTAAGCCACTGGTGCTTCACATAGGAGCAAAAGGAAACTAATGATGCACTAGCCTACGTATGCTTACATGATAGATGTACAAGATACGCTTTTTATGCTCTTTTGTATGCCCTCCATCTGAACTGCGGGACCGCAGAATGAAACCACAGTATATGGGGGACGTGCAGGAGGCCCCCCAGCAGCTGGCGGGACAGCATAAAGCTGTGGAGCCGGGGCAGGGTGACAGCAATGGAGACGGCGGTAGTGGAACTGGCGGTGGCGGACACAGTGACATTATGCATTGCGGTGGTGACAGCGGCAGTGGCAGTGGCAGTGGCAGCAGGGTCGGCGGCAAGGTGCTTGGGAAGAGGCGCACAGCAGGTGGTGCTCACAGCGACCATGAGGGGCAAGGCCGGGGTAGCAGTGGTGGCGACGGGCAGGAAAAGAAGCAACGCCACCGTGTGGCTGACGAGGACTGCCAACAGCAGCAGGATCAGGAGCAGGCACAGGAGCACCAACTGGAGGGCCAGGAGCTGCAGCACCGGCACCTGCACCGGCAGCAGCAGCAGCAGGAGAGGAAGGCGATGGAAGAGGGTGAGCCGCATCAGAGTCCTGATGGACAGCAGGATCAAGATCAGGAGCAGCAGGCATCAGGCGCACACAGCACCCGCATCAGAATGGTACCAGCCTCGGCGACTGAGCAACAAACGCGGCAAGCAGTGGACACTACCATCACCACAACAACCACAACAACCACAACAACTGCAACCACAACAATCACCGCAACTACAGCCGAATGTAGTGGCCGGGGTCCGCAGCTATGGGGCGGTATCATCAACGGTCGTCCTGTGGGGCCCAGCCAGTTCTACCTAAACGATGAAATGCTGGGGTGTGTGATGGCCCGGTTGGGTTGGGTTGCGCCATCATGGGGGGACGGAGGGAGAGGGCGTCCACACGTATTGTGTGATGGGTGTTGGCAACCAGGAAACTCCACGCCAGAAGCTCTTTCCGATGTCTTGCAGGTTCATATCCCAGATCCCCGCGCCCCCACCCATGGCACATCCTCGTAATGCTCTTCTCCTCCCTTTCTTCCCTCTCCCCTTTCTGAGCATTCATCACATGACGTAAATTAACGTTCCTTAACTCCCAATCTTAGTCACACACAATTACACCTCGAATTGCTTCGTTTCATGCTTTGAATTTTTTCACTTCTACCCATTTGATTTCTCGCACCCGCCCCCTCAACCCCTGGTGCCGCTCCTTTCAGGACAAGCCTCCGACCGCGCCTGCTGACCAGTGTGCTCGCAGTGGGCGGTGGACCCATCGCGGTCCAGGTGCGCATCCTGTGCCGTCTTTGTATATTTTGTCTCTTCATCTGTCAATGTCTATCTATGTTCACATGGCATTCGGCATTATGTCGGTGCAGCCCAGCCCTGCATGTGCACGCTCGCGTGTGGCCACCCGCAACCCCTTGTCTGATCCGGTCTGGTCGGGTGTGTAGGAATTGGACTATGCCGCCAAGAGGAATGTACCCTGGACCTACATACGCTGCAGGTGCGCCTGGCCCCCGCCCGCCCGCCCGCGTGTGTGTGTGTGTGTGTGTGTGTGTGTGTGTGTGTGTGTGTGTCTGGGTGCACGCGTCAGAAGGGAACATCGCCCACGTAATATCGCAGCATCAGTAGTGCATGCAAGTATGCAGTGTCCGCGTATATGTATGGATGTTATTGCATGTGTCTGTGTGTGGAAAGGGTTACCTTAACATGCTTTTGCGTGTGCATGTGTATGTATGCATGTATGTGCATCCACATGTGTACAATCCTTGTGCTTTGGGGGTTTGTATCCAAGCAGCGACTCATAGGGCTCGCATCAATCGAGCATCCATGGAGTGAAAACAGGGTCCATCATCGATCCCCTTTCCTGGCGTTGTGTCCAGATGCATGTATGTGGATATGCTGCTTCTCATCCTGATGTGGCGTTTCCTGGCTGTCCAGGCTTGATTACCATTGTCGTCATTACCGTGATGATGGTGTTAAAATGTGACTGCTAACACGGGCGGGCGCTGCTGCCGCCACTGTCGGTCCAGGGGCCGGAACGTGACTCCCGGCAACGAGTACGGCCCGGTTGATGACTGGGTACGGCAACAGAGGCAGCAGAAGAGCCACGAGACGGGAGGCGAGGAGGACGAGGAGCAGCCACCGCCGCCGCAGCAGCGGCAGCAGCCGAGTGAAACAAAGCGGGCGTAGGGGGAGAGGCGCACGTGATTATATGCGGGCGACAGGGGATAGGGTAGCTAGCAAGGAGCAAGGCACGCTGGCCTGGTTCGTAGCCAGGCTGGCTAGCGGGTCCGCAGTTAGATCATTGAGAATCAAATTTACGAGATAGTTGGTTCGTAGACGTAGACAGAACGGGTGATGGTGGGTTCAGATCCACAGTTAGTGTGCCACAGGCCAGTCAGAACGCCGCGCCGGGCTGGTAAGCGCTGCTCGATCGCACGCCACGAGGAAACTTCTATGCATGACGGGCGCGCAAGAGTAAAATTGGCAAAAGTGAGGTAGCACTAGCAGCGGCTAGCGGCGGCCGTCAAAAACGTTCGGCCGGGTGATGATCTGGCTGGGACCTTGCTTCCCAAAGCCGCACCTCTCATTCAACCCGCTTCCTTTGGTCAGGCCCCTGTGTAACCTTTATCATGATATGGGTATCTACTTCGTGCTCCTTGGATCATACTGATAGGGGATGGAAAGCGGATGAAACAAGGGAGCGCAGTGCTGGCGGCACATGTGCGAAGTGGCCAACCTTGGCGACCATTTCATGACGGCCTGATTGTTTTCTCCTCATATCGATACGTCTATATGAAGCGGCCGAGGAGGGCCAAGACTGTATATTTGCTTCGATTTGTTTATGGGATGTGTCTGTGTGTACGAGGCGCTCTGTCCCGATACGTCACGCCTGAACTGAATCTCATTTGGGTTGCCGCCGCGCATTCTCGCAAATGGATGAATCTATAACCAAGAAGCAGAGATTACCTCATCTGAACGCTTTGTTCCATAGGATTACAATCTTCAGCTATATTTAAAACCTGCGCCAACCGAGGCCACAGAGACATCCTGCCACAAGGGCCGCGTAATGAGGACTGGCTCGCAACAAAGGGCAAGGTCTGCTGTCCCTGGGTTACTTGTTTCCGTTTTAGAGCTCCTCGTTCGAGAGGGTTAGCTGCCAACGAGATTTATTCTTATTTTCACGCGCGCAGACAGTAATTTCATCTGCACGCCGTCAACCCGTTAGCATGTCCCATTCTGGAGACGCAGTAGAACTGTTTTACAGTCAGCAGCAGCAGCAGCCGTTTATTCGATCGGAACACGAAAACGGCGATGAGAAGGAAATGGACGTTTCGCAGCTGCAAGTGGCTGCAGACGCGCATCAACAGCAGCAGCAGTCAGCGGCCTTCTCTCACGGAGACCTAGCACCCCTAGGACCTCCAGCTGCGAGCAACCAAGAATACGTAATAGTTTCACCACTGGAAACCGGCCCGTTGCCGCATCCGGGACCAGGTTTTCTTGTCGGACCAGCTGCGGGGTTCGAACGACCCATGGGTCATTCGCCACCGGACATGGCAACAGCACAAGAGCGCAGTGCGAACATGGTCACAGGCCAAGGCGCTCTCGAAGAGCAGCAGCAGCAGCATCGGACCGCAGCCGCAACGATGCCGTACGGTAGCTACGATGCTGCGATAACGGTCAGCCCTAACGCGTACAGGATGATCCCGACGCCCTGCAATGGGTTTCAGCCAGCTGCCGAGACGGCGGCACCGCCGCCGCCACCTCCGCCACTGCTATCGCCGCCACCGTTACCGCCCCCACCGGCTCAATCAATCCTTCAGACCGTCTTGGATCTGTCGCCTTTTTCCAATGCGGCCCTTCCGTACGGCATGATCCCGCCACTGCAAGGCAACGCCGACAGCGGCTGCCTGCCGTTAACGGAGCCTCTAAACGGTAGTGTCGGTGTTGTATCCGCATGCCCTATGGAGCCGTATTTGGCGGTGGCGGCGGCGCCGCCGCCGCCGCCATCGGCGTTCTCCCCTGCGGCGGCGGCGGATGTTCATGTCCCCGCGCACCTCTCCTGGAGCGCCTCGCCAATAGAAGCGGCTCAACCGACACCCGCGCAGCTGGAGCTCCGTGAAGGACAACCGCTGCCGCTGCCTCTGTCGCTGCCGCCAGCAGACATGCGCTTTGAGCCCGCGGAGGGTGATATGTACGGCGACATGTACGGCAATGCCAGTGGCAATGTCAGTGCCGGCGATGTGGCAGCTATCCAAATGGACCCTTTCGGGTCCTTCCTTACGGTGCAGCAGCACATGCAGCTGCTGGCTTCACTGGCGCATGAGAATGCCAACCTCCACCACCTGCAGCCCCTGCAACAGCCGCCGCAGCCGCCGCGGCCGCAGCTACCGGCGACGGCACTCTCACCACCGACGTTGCCTGAGGTTCTACCGTCGCAGCGCAACAGCGGACACAGCCAAACTTCAATCAACTGTCTGCCACAGAACTCCGACGTGCCACCGCCACCGCCGCCACCGCCGCCGCCGCCGCCGCTGCCGTCACAGCAGAAGCAGCAACAACAGCTGCCTCTGCAAGGAGGGCTGCCTGCAGCAGATTCCTGTTACACCCCCGCCGGCACGCAGGAACCTCGCCTTTCTCTCGAGTTGCTGGGTTCGAGCCTGCCAACCAACAACGGCATCGATAGGCCTTCGAAAGCGGCTCATAACGCCGACGGCTATTCGAAACTGACATGCATCGCTGCCGGCCCACCGCTGGCAGTTGTGACGGGTACGGCAGCAAGTGGCGGTGGATTGCCTGAGAGGTCCATCAGCTTCAGCGGCTTTTGGGGACCCCAGCTTGGACCGAGGGAGGCGCCGCCGCCGCCGCCGGCGTCCGCGCCGCCGCTGCTGCTCTCGGCGGCAGCGCACCTCGACGGCATGCCGCTGCATTTGCTACAGCCTACGGCTGCGCTGGCGGAGCACCCTCCAGGTGCTACAGCCGTAAGCGGTAATGGCGGGGGTGTAGAGGTGCCGACGCTGCAGCCTGTGTACGGCACTGCAACGGAGGCCGTCACACCACGGCTGATTGCCAGTCATGCCTCATCCTTTGCGCTCTTCTCCCCGCCGCGCTATGCCGTACAACCTGCGCTGCCGCCACAGCCATCGGCGCCACTTCCTCAGCTGATCTTCCCAGGGCAGTCACGTACGGAGCAAGATTATATGGCGCCGCCGCCGCCGCCGCCCCATCAGCACATCTTCGTGCCTGTGGATTGCACGGAAACGCAGCCGCCGCCACAGCCACCACAACCGCGTCATGTGCAGCCGCAAGATGCGCTGCAGCAGAGACTGCTAGCAAAATTTGGACCTGGATTGCAGTACGACACGCTAGGAGTTGCTGTACCTGACGTGACGCCACCGGAGGTGACGGCGACAGCGGCGGAGACCAACGAGGTGCCGGTGGTGGCGGCGGCGGCGGCGCTGGAGGGTCCGCTGTCAACGTCACCCGGCACCGTGGCCATGGAACTCGACTTTGGAGCCGCCGCCGTTGAAAAGGTCACCTGCGGTGGCGGCGTTGACTGCATTAAGGAGGGTGACGGCGGCGGCGACGGCGTCACGAGTGCATTTCTACTATCGAATGGCTGCCGTACAGACGTGGTCGACGGTATGGGCGTGATGGGACCTGCTGCCGCTGCAGCGGCGCTGCTGCCATCACCGCCACCGCCGCCGCCACCGCCGTTGACGAGCAATTCGGATGGTGTCCCCGACGGAAGTCCCCGACCCACGGGCACTCCGCAGGCGGCCATGGCCTTTCTCCGTCAGGTGTGTACGGCACATGCGAAGGTTTCCATGTACGGCAATCCACTATACCGACGATGTAAGATGTATAGATCTGAGGCCCTCGTGATTAAGATGACATGTTCCAGTTGAGATTGTTTACTTATAGGTACGACATGCCGTACATATCCTCCCTCTTCTTGACAAAGCCAGGGGCCCTTACTTGGCAGGTCATGAACGACGGCGGCGACATCAACGGCCACGACGAGCGGCTACATGGTGTACTGCACTCGTTAGATTCCTCGCCTCGATTCGGCGTCGGCGGCGGTACGGCTACGGGTACGGGTACGGACGATGCCGACAGTGGCGCTGCCGCCGCCGCGGGTGAGTGTACGGATGTGTGTCAATAAACATGATATCCTTACCTTGCCAAAAGGTGCTGAAAAGATAGGAAGGAGCAGAGGAACTTTCTGGAGAGGCGATAGCTGTACGTGTGTGTATGTATGTATGTATGTATGTATGGCACAGGCGGCAATTGCAAACCTTACAACAACAACATCAACAACAACAACAATAACAACAACAACGGCGGCGGCGGCAACGGCGGCGGGATGTCGACGCCGACGCCGGCAGCTCTCGACTGCGGTAGTAGCCGGATGCTTGACAAGGTGGGCCCCAGCGGCGCAAGCAGCGGCGGCGGTGGAGAGGGAATCGCAGAGCGGCAGGGCAGCAGTACGGCAGCGGCGCAGCGATGGCTGGAGGACGTTGGCGTGCCCGCTGAAGCCGGCACGCTGCGGAGTACGGCAGCGGGGCTCCATAGCGCGGATGTCCCCTGCGAAGGATTACGGAGTGGGGGCAATGAGGGCGCTGCCGTACCGGCGGCGACGGCGACGGCCGAGGGCGAGGAGGGGCTGGAACGTGGTATCGCGGATGAAGATGTCCTTGACGACGGTGTACGGCAGTCGACGGAGGCGGAGGCTTCAGAACATCGGGACACTGACTCGCTGATGATGCCGAATGCGGCGACGGTGGAGGCGGCGGAGGCGGAAGACAAGAGCCGTGTTCTGACCAGCGGTACGGGCGCGGCGCCGCAGGCATGGGACGAGCGGGTGCTGACGGCATCAGCTCCGGCGCCGCCATCCGTGCTCAACGGCCCGACATCGCCGGCTCTGCAACACACGTCAGCACCAGCGGCAGCGGCAGTGGCGGCAGCGGCAGCATCAGGCCACGACGGCGTCATGGACGAAGCCGACGACGGCGGCGCCGCTGCCGCGGCGGATCTTCCCGTCACGCCAACGCCGCCGCCGTCGTCCCGGCGGAGCAGTCGCGACGGCGGCGGTACGACCGGAATGTCTATGGAACGGGGCCGCCAGGTCGCCGGCGGCGCCGTCAGCCCGCCCTCTGTCATCGACGGCTTCCACCCCGATTGGCTGGTGGTGTTGACGACCGACGGGCGGTTCTTCCAGCCGTGTCCCACCTGTAACCCGCAACACCCCGGGAGCCGGGATGCGCTGATGACGTTTCTTGACGTCACAGAGCCGTACAGCCCCGGCGTGTGCAACTACTGCCGGCAAGCACGTCTAAATGCAGGGCACAGGCAAGTGGACAGACAAACGTACACACTTACACATGCACATGGAGCTACCCAAGGGACGCAAAGGGGGGCCCAGGGGGAGAGTCGGTGGGTACTGTTAGGAGTACGACGGAGTACGGAGTATCGAAAGGGGGCAGAGGGGGTGTTGAATGGTGGGGCGTAGTAGTTGGGGGAGGCGGCATGCAAACATCATCCCTCTAGGGGGGTTCGCTTAATGGACTCAGATTCGGATGAGGCACTTACATCCTCCACCGGCAATATCAACAAAACGATGCGGAGTTCTTTTCTTTGAGGACTTCTCCCCACAAACCTCTCAACAGTTACTGGTTGGTAACTCCTTGTTGCAAATTCCTGCAGTATGTATGTAGGTCTGTCTATTCCTGCGGAGTGTCCGTCTATTGGATACTGATATCACCATCACACTCGTTTGTGGTTCCCCTTTCCCCCCGCCTCCCGACACACACATTTTCACACACAACACACAACACATCGACAGGTTGCTGCAAGTGCGGCGCAGCACGTATCACGAGGTCGTACAGGTACGTACATGTTTACGGCAAGTACGGCAAATACTCGCTACGTACTCGCTACGTACGGAACTGGTGGACATTGCCGAATTGAATCGAATTGAAAAAGTTGACAGAGGGGGAGATGTTAGCATCCCGCCGGGTTAGAGGTGACCGGCATGCTTGACGTGTCTGGCTTGTGTGTATGTGTGCATATGTGTATGTGTGCATGTGTGGCTGGATGGGTGGATGGGTGGATGGGTGGAAGGGCGGCAGGAGTAGATGACGCTGTGTTGCGGTGATGAGGTTGTTGACTGTAGTGACCGTAGCGCCGCGACCCAACTCGAGTACCTACCTACCCACGCGTGCCACGTTCCCCTTTCGGACTCCGTACTCGCTAGGGGCAGTTTCGGACTTGGGGACGCCGGGAGCAGTTCATTTCTAAGTTTCTCGCATATGTGATGTACCCCCTTCGCTCCTCCCCTTTTCTCCCCCCCCTCCCCCCTTGACCCCCCCGCTCCCCACCCCCCTTCCCAGGTCGCAGATGTAGCACCCCTCCTGGACCTTCAAGGAGTTCAGCTCTACACCATCAACCATGCAAGGGTGCGTGTGCAAGCCGCCGTGCGTGTGTGTTGTTTCTTAACGGGCGAGGGGAATATAATCGCCTGTGTTCATTGTACGGAAACGCAGCGCGCTTGAGTATTTATTTATTTGCGGGTGCAGAGGGACTGGTGTCTACGTACTTGTTTGTTCGTCTGTCTGTCTGTGCTCCCTGTGCGTTTGTATAGTCTGTATACGTGTATTCGAGTCCGGCTTTTGGTCTGGTTTCGAAACATGTCTGCCACGGCCTATCTGCTGCCTCTGCCACCTGTCTGTACCTGCGTCTCTTAGGAGCAAACATACATACACACATACTCGGGGCTGCATGGGGAGAGGATGTAAAGGCCATGATCGTCCGCCGCACAAAACCGCAAAACCGCCAATTCCCAACAAAATCCGCAACCCTAACTTCTCCTTCCCGAGTTGGTAACCCTCCAGGTACTTTCCCCCCTCCTTAAGTGCGCGTCCTCCCCAGCAAACTATCAAAACCCCTCCTCTAACGGGCGACTGGAGACCCTACTCAGCCCCTCCGCCCCTATTCCCCCCCTCCGCACGTCAGGTGGTGTTTCTCCGCAGCCGGCCTCAGGCCCGGCCCCCCAAGGGCGCCGCAATGCCCTCCCGTTGCGAGCTGGACGGTCGGCAGCTGATGGATGTGGGGGCCAGATACTGCTCGCTGAGGTGGGTCGGTGGGTCGGTGGGGTTATGGGGATGCCGGGTTGAAGGTCGGCATTGTGTGTGGGGGGGCGGGTAAGGAGGGAGATCGTCAGAGAGGTCAGGGCGGTGGTAGCGGCCTTGTGGCCTTTGGTGAGGTGGCCTATTCGCACACCTCGGCAGCCCCTCCGTCTCCTCCTCTGTACGGCCACGCATATATATACATATATACGTACATACGTACATATGGAATACACGCGTTTACAGGTCTGCATACTTACAAACATACAATCCAACGTACAGATGTAAGATCGAAATGGAGTCGGACAACATCATGCTGGATCGCGACAGCCCCGCCGCTGCGGCCGTCAGGACACACGTGGAGGCGATGCAGGCCGGGGACGGCGGCGCCGCTGCCGGACCTGCCGTACAACCCGTTGACACGTCACTCCGGTCGTCTTCGGCGCTCGGTCGATCTATGGGCGCGCATCCGCGCCGTACAACGATGACGCTGACGAAGGATCCGACGACACCGACCCTGGCGTCGGCGTCGGACGTTGGGCCGGACGGCGGCGCCGCCGGCGAAGCGCTGGCGGCGATTCAAGAGCCAGGGGAAGAAAGCCGAGGCAAGCGGCGTCGCATGGAATCGCCGTACGATTTTCTCGGTGGCGTTCGGGGCTCCGTCAGCTCGGGATCCCCCTCCGGCCGTGGCGGCCATCGCGGAGCCATGCCCGTAATTAACCTCGCAAAGTACCGTACGGCGGGGCCGAGCTCTGTCGTACGCCGTACGGAGCAGCGCCAGCGTCAGGCGCAATCGCAGCCTCTGCAGGGCTCGCTGCCGCTGCCACTGTACGGAGATGTTGAGCTGGCGGCAGCAGCAATGGCGGCGGGGGTGCCATCTGTACAGCAACAGCAGCTGTTGGCGATTCAATGGCTGCAGCAGCAGCAGCAGCAGCAGCAGCAGCAGCAGCAGCAGGAACAGGAGGCTGGGCAGCGCTCTTCCCGCCGTGAAGGCGCCGTCTCTTCCGTGACACTGCTGGATATTGTGCCGACAAAGGTTTCAAGACGTGATCAAGGATTATCTGCGGCAGGCGGGCCGCGTGCTGCCGCCGCGGCTGCAGCCCAGGCTTTGATGGAGGAGACAGCAGCGGTTGAGCCAAGCCCCTCAGCAGCTGCCGCCGCTGCTGCCGCCAGCAGCAGCGGCGCACTTGGAGGGTACGGCAGCGACGGCGTCGATGGCCCACGGCGGGGACGGGGGACGGTACAAGAACCTGACGCCGGCGGCGGCGGCGAATATAACGCCAACGGTGCCGCTGGGCTGCTGCTCCTGGGGAAGGCCGTCGCTTCCAGCCCGCGCAGGGGCGCGCAGCCACGACAGTCCTGCCTGGCGCAGCGTCCAGCGGCCGCGCAGGCCACGCCGCCGTCAGTGGCGACGGGCCTGCCGGCGGTGCCGTCGCCGTCTAGTAAGTCGCCCACTGGTCGCCACGCCCGCTTCGGCCCCGCCCCCGCCTCAGCCCTTGGGGGTATCAGCTTGCTGGCGGGGCCGCCATCGCCCTCCCTCGATCTTCGGCGGCCGACGGCGGCGGCAGCGGCGGCGGGGCCGCCGCCGCCGCAGCAGCCGCAGTCGCCGCGTGGCCCCGGCACTGCCTCAACTGGCATAATCGCCGTCAATGGCGAAGATGTACGGGATGCTGAGGCAACGGCGGCGGCAGTCGCGCCAGACTGGGTGCAGCGCCCGTCGAGCAGCTTTATTGGTGGCGGTGGTGGCGGCGGTGATGACGGCCCTATCGGCAGCGTACTGGGGCTCTTGACTGGGGGGCGGCAGGACAGCGTGAGCGTCAGCGCCGGCGGCGGCGGCGGCGGCGGCATCAGCGGCTATGTGACTCCCGAGCTGGCGGAGCATTTGGTGGCGAGACGAGCAGAGCAAGTACGACGCTTGTGCCCAGGAAGAAGTTATTTGCCATGGCCGCAAAATGTTTATCCTAAATCTGCTTTGTGCTATGATCCAATAAAAACGAGTTAGCTTACGTCAGGCATATTGCGAACCAAAAAAGGTATTTGAAGAAGCCTTGGAAGACACGTGCGCTTGTGCCGTAATGTACGACAACCGTTGGTTGACGGTCGTACAAAATTAGCGCGTAAAATCCAACGAGGAAATGCGATGTGACCCTATCGCAATGCAGGTGGCAGCAGCTCTAGCGGCCGGTTCGCCTGGTCGGGGCCAGCGCAGCAGCGGAAGCGCGGGAAGCCTAGGGGTTGGCGGTGGTGGTGGCGGAGGCGCCTCCGCCGTAACCGCCGGTGGGGGCGCCTTCAACTTGCCGCCGCTACCAGGCCTTGAGCCCGATCCCCTATCTGGGTGGGCCGCTCTCCTCCGCCTGCAACTACCGTTGGTGCCATCACCACAACGGCCACCGCCGCCGCTGCCTCTGCCGTACTGTGACCCCGCTGCCGTGGCGGAGGCGACGACGGCGGCGGCAGCGGCACCACCAGCGGGCGCACCACCAGCGAGGTCGCCGGGGCAGCGGAGGAGCGGCAGCAGGGGCCCGGCGTCGTCGCGAAGCCCTGCCAGTGGCGGTGGGGGCGGCGCCGGCGCTGGCGCAGTTCCCGCTGCTACTGCAACTGCTGCCGCCACCTCGGCAGTGGCAGTGGCAGCAGCAGCGGTGGCGGCTTCCCGAGGCCACACCCGTTCAAGCAGCGCCCACAGCCTTGACAGCGGAGATACGAGGTCCACGAGCAGCCACCGCCACCTTCAGCAACAGCACTTTCTGCAGCAGCAGACACAGTACCACCACCACAAGCGAAAGGGTGGCAAGCCGCATCGGAGCGCGCTGGAATGACGTCCAAGCCTGCGGCAGTCGGATTAAAAAACAGGAGCCGTACGTTCGATCGTACAAAAGGAGCACACAGTCCACTGCCCTCGATCCACTGCCGCGTCCTGTTACAAGTTTCATGTTTGCAGCTTATAGATGCACACAGCACCACGCACACACGCACATAACTGCGCCGAGATGCGCACGAGGGCAGCGGCGGTTCATCTGAAATAGTTGTGTTCGTGTAGAAAATCGTATGTTTTCAGCCACGTCGTTGAAAGCTGTATAAGTTTTGAGGATTAGTTGATAGTATTGTTTTTTCGCTTCAGGTTTCATGATTTAGCCCTGGATGATTTCATTAATAATTTTTAAATTGATTTGTGGAACTACGATGTTCGGCAAAAGCTTAGACTTCGTCTCTTTGCCCTTATGTTCACTTTGCTTCTCTCTGTTTCATGTCCATCTGTCCCACGTCCCGCCCAAAGCAAAATCAGGAATGTTGCCAGTCCCTAGGCTTGCACCTTGTGTCACATGCCTGTGCTCGGCTTTGCCTACATAGACAGACATCTTTGCGGTTTGCATTGACACTTTTCAGGGATGCACGCTACAGGAGAGTGCGGCTCATACACACCGAAAAGTGGCAAGCCAGTACACATACAGAAGATTGCCAAGATTGCCAACCCAAACCCTAAAACCCTAAAACCCTAGTACACACACAGAGGAGCACGAAAACAGTTGGTTGCCTCTGAGAGGACCCGCCGGGTGGCCCAGCCACCTACTCAAGTATGCAATCCGTCTGCCGCCCGCAGCTACCCGTTTTCGCTGCTCAGGTGACTGCCTCACGCGTTTCCGGATTAATCATCAACCACGACCACCTCCCATCAGGGATGGGCCGTTGTCGACTGTAGGCTCAGAGCGGACATGCCATCGACGCAGGTGATATCTGGACCGACGAAATCATCAAGAACTTCCACGTGTCAGCCCCCGCTCGGATGACAGAAGACCGCGACATCCCCCAGCATGTATCGAACCGGCGATTGTGCCTTTCAAAGGCACAAGCCTGGACGCTGTGTGTCCACAGGTTGGTCTAGAACGATACCTATCTAGAACAACGCTCCCATGGTACGCCATGTCAGTTACCAACTCCGTCCCACGTCCCGCCCAAAGCAGCCCAAAGCAGCTCGCGTTTCGTGCAGACTACTGCCGGCCGCCATTGTGTGGAAGGCCTGTGCGTAGCCACAGCCCATACAGCCATTGATTGATCATCACATCATTGGTAAGGAAAGGCGTCTCACCACGATCAACTGTAGGTCGTCATCCTGCTAGTGGGCTCGCGCGGATCCGACGAATCAAAGGCGATAGAGCCCTGTTTGCAGCTAGTTGCTGATGAAGCATTGTTGATGGCAAACCTCCATGTTGGAGTAACCTGTACAACCTACATTTATAATAACCTAATTGTAACCTGATTGCAGGTTGCATAGTAGCTGTCGTACGGCACGTTATGCACCAAACACTGCTGTACGTGTCGTACAGTACGACACAACCCGTTCCGGCCGGCTCGGTTAGCTCAGTCGGTAGAGCGTACGGCTGTTAACCGTAAGGTCGACGGTTGAAACCCGTCATCGAGCGCACAGGACAAGCATGTGGGGTCGTAGCTCAAATGGTAGAGCGCCCGCTTAGCATGATGCGACCATGAAGCTGAGCGCCGCAGGTAGATTGCGGGAGGTAGGGGGATTGATGCCCTCCGACTCCATGAGATACACCACCGAAGGACACTCCTGAGCCGCACGGTGGTTTTGCTAAGGCGCGACATAGGGTATATGGAAGGTTGCAGATTCCGTCCATAGGAAAGTGGATGCAACCCCACGGAGATGTGACGCGGATGGATCATATTATATACATATATGTACAATCATGGATGGACCCTATTATCTTTATTGAAGTCTGCTCCGAGCAGACCAGGAGTAGGCTCGACACAAACGTTGACTGGGCAGAGTCAACTGGATGCTGGGGGTGGGCTTTCACACAATAACATATACGCGGGACTGTGTTCCCTGCATCTCTAATAGAGGCCTTTCCAGAACCGGAATTCAGAAATTAGAAACCAGAAATCAGAAATCAGAAATCAGACTGCATATCCACACACTCACGGCGTGTGCTTCCAAGCATCTCGAATGGAGGGCCCTGGACACTGTCTGTCTTGACAATGATGCAGGTAGCCGCCTTCCATTCCCTAAAACGTTGTGGAGCGGAGCAGAGGCGGCGGCTGTACAGGTATAGCGCTGCATATGCCAGCAACGCGTGCGGTGTTGGTGGCGCCTGTCTAAGGCTAAATAAAATTCCCGTATACAGTACACAACCCCGTCATGCTAGGTAGAGGGAGAGAGATAAAGGTGCAGGTGGAAGGGCAGGCAGCTGATGACACGGTTATCATGCCCCGTGGTGCATCCTCCTCATCCTACTATATTTGTCATCATCCACGTCACCATCATCGTCACCATCATCGTCACCATTGTCCTCGTCTTCATCCCATGTTCTCCTCCATTGCTCATTTGCGCTCGTTCAGGAATGTTGCCAGTCCCTAGGCTTGCACCTTGTGTCACATGCCTGTGATAATAGTACAGATTGACTTTGAGAAGGCCTTTGATAGGGTGCCTCGCGAGCACATGTGGCTTCGGTTGCAGGAGAGGGGGATTAGCGGCCCCATGCTAGGTGCTCTGAGAAAAGCGTACGAGAAGGTGTCCATGGTGATGAAGGTAAATGAGAAAGTGGGGGGAGAGTTTGAGTCTAAGCAAGGAGTGAAGCAAGGGTGTCCTTTATCTACGGAGTTGTTTGGACTCTTCATCGAGACACTAGCCGATCTGATTGATACTCATGACCTTGTAGAAGCTGGTGCACGTAAGTATGACGCACCCCTTGTGGACAGCAAGCGCGTGTCCATACTGTTGTATGCAGACGATGTTAGTCTGCTAGCGACGTCACTAGAGCGAATGTCTGAGTTGCTACATCTTGTGGACTTGTTTTGTGAAGCTTTTGGGATGCGACCAAATGTCTCAAAGTGTGAAAGGCTTGTTTTTGCATGTGACGGCACCCAGCAGTCGGAACTTAGCGGGAGATGTCAACAGTTACGGCTATCAGGCCAGGTAGTACCTGCCAAAGATAGCGCTTGCTATCTGGGCTTGGTATATGGGCCATAACGGCCTTTTAGTGCGTGCCGTCAGCAGTTGTGTGATACAGGTCGGTCCGCTATGTTTTCCTTAAGCGCAAAGCTGGACAAAATGAAGCTGTTTGCCCCCGATGTGCGAATGCGGTGTTTTGCAACCCAAGTCCGAGCAATTCTGTTGTATGGTTGCCAGGCGTGGGGCCCTTTTGCGCTGGCAGAGGTCGTGGACAGGGTTTTAGGGTTTTAGGGTTTAGGGTTTTAGGGTTTTAGGGTTTAGGGTTTTTTAAAACCCTAAGGCGGCGGGATAAAGCCAACCTTGCGGAGGGCATGTTCGAAGCCTGTTTGAAGGATAGTGCAGTCCAGCTGCAGATTTTATTCATGAGGCAGGTAGTGGGGACGGCACGGCCATCCCACATGCTGTTGTACGCGGAGCTGGCTGAACTCCCCTTACAATATTACATGGTGAAGCAGATTCTCCGTTTCTGGAACCGCCTTCAAAAGCAAGTGGGATCCATTGCTCATGCAGTTTTACGGCAGGAGATAACCGATGCCCTGACCAACCCGGAATGGGAGGGTTGGGGAATCTCAATGTTACGACTGTTTTCCTTCTTGGAGTGCAACATTTGGAGCGGAATACCGCAAGAAGTCGTGGGGGTAAAGGAGCGTGTTGACTGGTTGCTGAGTAGACCTCTACCAGAAGGAGCGATAATAACGGCACTAAGAGAGCGTTTGATGAGTGGCTGGGACCATACGCGTCTGACTGTCTTGCCAGAGGAGCAGTGATTTTTTTTCATTTAGGGGGGGTCTCAATTTATTCCAACCTAAGTAACAAAGTTGCTAGCGTCGCCGTTATGTATTCCTTAAGAGTGGGGCGCTGGGGGGGGNTACGCCCCCCCCAGACCCCCCCCCGATAAGTTACAACAGCACCGCCGTCCCAAACGCCTTTATCAGGAAAAATTTCAGACTTATCTTGCTGTTTTTGTGTTTGTTCGGCGTTCAAGTCGTTGCCTTTTGCGTGTTTGTCTATGGAAGGACCGGTCATACATTCTGCTATGCCGCGTTGACTCACGGGCTTGACCTTCTTACGGCCCCTCATATCTATTTTATGATCGATAATACTAAGTTCTGCACACTACGGAGCAATCTGGCAGCAATGGACGTTTTTGGCTGAAGGAATGAAAATGTACGGATCGGCCTCACTTTGTTCCTTATTTCCAAAGGCCAAAAAGGCCTCTTTATTCCTTAAAAGTAATATATTACTTAAAAAAAACACTGCAGAGGAGTACCCATCAGATGGGAAGCAACCGGGAGTGCAAATGGCGAAGTATAAGCACTGGATGGGGCTGCCCTTTTCGGGAGCCGCAGCCGTCATGTGGCCAATACATGCTAAGGTTTTCATTCCTCGTTTAGCACATCGTAAGCTAATGCAGTTTCGTTTATGTTGCTGGGCTTTGGAGGCAAACAGAGCACGAAGGGGCAAGCACCATGTCCCCAGGGGGCAGCGGTTTTGCCACTGTTGTGGTACTAATAGCCGACTTGAGGATGAAAAACACGTGTTATTGGAATGCCCAGCCTATAATGATATTCGTGCTGAAGAGGGATTCGATCATCAACAGAGTATGTTGGAGGCCATGCAATGGGAACCCACACGTCTGGCGAGGATGTTGGAACGTATGTGGGCTCACCGAAACTCAATTACCCCCTTTGGACGCTAGTCTGGGCTGATGTGCGGTGTTTTTTTTTCCTTTTTCTCCGTGGCTCTTAGGCGTTGTAGTATTGCCCTTGGGCCTTCGGCCCGTATCATACGAGTCGTATGGGTAGTCTTACAGGTATGGGGTCACGCACCCCCAACCATGTAACACACACACACACATGCCTGTGCTCGGCTTTGCCTACGTAGACAGACATCTTTGCGGTTTGCATGGACACTTTTCAGAGCTGCACGCTACAGGAGAGTGCGGCTCATACACACCGAAAAGTGGCAAGCCAGTACACATACAGAAGATGGCCAAGACAGTACACACACAGAGGAGCACGAAAACAGTTGGTTGCCTCTGAGAGGACTCGCCGGGTGGCCCAGCCACCTAAAGTATGCAATCCGTCTGCCGCCCGCAGCTACCCGTTTTCGCTGCTCAGGTTACTGCCTCACGCGTTTCCGGATTAATCATCAACCACGACCACCTCCCGTCAGGGATGGGCCGTTGTCGACTGTAGGCTCAGAGCGGACATGCCATCGACGCAGGTGATATCTGGACCGACGAAATCATCAAGAACTTCCACGTGTCAGCCCCCGCTCGGGTGACAGGAGACCGCGACATCCCCCAGCATGTATCGGACCAGCGATTGTGCCTTTCAAAGGCACAAGCCTGGACGCTGTGTGTCCACAGGCGGGTCTAGAACAATACCTATCTAGAACAACGCTCCCATGGTACGCCATGTCAGTTACCAACTCCGTCCCACGTCCCGCCCAAAGCAGCCCAAAGCAGCTCGCGTTTCGTGCAGACTACTGCCGGCCGCCATTGTGTGGAAGGCATGTGCGTAGCCACAGCCCATACAGCCATTGATCATCACATCATTGGTAAGGAAAGGCGTCTCACCACGATGAACTGTAGGTCGTCATCCTGCTAGTGGGCTCGCGCGGACCCGACGAATCAAAGGCGATAGAGCCCTGTTTGCAGCTAACAGCCCTACCGGACGACCTGGGCGAGTTGGACCATTTCATGGCGGCTGTGATACCCGGCTGCACAACAGTGCGAGACGAGCCGCAGCGTGTGGTTGCTATTCCCACACTCGACAGCCTCTGCCACCATGGTCAACCTCGCCCGGGTCCGACATGGACGGCAGACTGTGCTGGCTGAATCACGACAGCACTCCAGAAGAAGAGATGGCTATTGTTTGGAAACGGACATTTCCTCCTCTGTCGTCTTCATATTCTGCCACTCGTAGCCTGCCGCCTCTATCCCCTGCCGCCTCTATCCCCTACCGCCTCTATCCCCTGCCGCCTCTATCCCCTGCCGCCTCTATCCCCTGCCGCCTCTATCCCCTGCCGCCTCTATCCCCTGCCGCCTGCTCTCCTGTCATCTCCTTTCCTGTCATCTCCTTTCTTGACAAATTTGACGTCGCAAGTTTTAACCATACACAGTACGTGGTATTGGGAGAATGCATACAGTCATAAGTAATTAAAACAATCCCTGACATGGCGATATTAGAAGGCTTTTGCTTGCAAAATCACCACTTCAGCCGAACTCCTTCGATATGTTCTGAAGGCCCCTCAGCCCTTCATTCCAGAATGAGCACGAAATGAGGACGAAACGAACGCCAAATGAAGGGAATCCCGGGAATCGAAGGGAGGCCGGTTCCCAGAGTGTGAGGTACACTAGCAACGGCTGGCATGGCGATTTGGATTCTTGGCCCCTGTTGCTCCATTCTTTTTCACACCTGCAGCTGCCTCTGCTGCTCCAGCCACACACAGGCCATACGCACCAGTATCAATTTGTTGTAAAGCAGCCACGGGGGCCGCCTCTTGACGCTGTGATTGAAGATGTGGGACATGGTCGCATGGACGTGGATGGCGGTGAGGGGTCTGGCCGCCATGGAAACGGGATGGGGGATGGGGCCGCAACGGCCGGGTGCGTGTCGGTGTTGGCCTTGTCACGGGCATGTGCCCCATGTCAACGGGACCACACCGACCGGGCTGACAACACCAACGTCGTGGAAACGTTCTTCTCGCTGCTGGTGCAGGTGCTGGGGTACGAACCGGCGATGGACCTTATCATGCAAATGGCGGGCAAGGTGGACTGGCTTGCCGTGATGCGGCTGCAGCCAATCGAGCTGTGGGGGTTCCACACGGCGGACCCGCCGCGACACAAGCGCAGCTACGACGTCAAGGAGCTGGGCAGCGCCTAGGCCTGGCACTGGGGTAGCAACTGGGGAGCGGCGAGGCCGACGTTGTGGACTCCAACCTGCGCGACCGGTCCCTAGTCACGACCGGTACTTAGTCAAAAGCCACGATCGCATCACCAAGTTGGCAGCGGATATGTCTGTGCGACAGCACAACAGGCTGCGTGGGTTGACTGCAGGATAGATGTGACCCCTTGCCCTTCTGCATGGGGCTTGGCATTAAGAGATACCTGTTGAGCCTGACACGTGGTTTACGGAGAAGGCGGTTTGTGTCCCGGTATTATTGTACATAACGGGCGAGCTTTGCAAGTGTGGGCGTGTGATAGGACAGCATGGCAAAACAGCGAGCCGAGTTAGTGGGCTGACTGAAGAACACTGCAGGCGGTTTGCGGACTGGAATAGTTGCACTTTACTCGTTTCCCGCCTCGGTGGAGCTCGTGGCTGAACTAATGCCAAAAGGGACACGTCGGGTTGGTGTGTTTTTCCACTGACCCATAGGGTCATTTTGCGGTCCGCTTGTGCACAGGTAAAACGATAATGTAAGCACACCGCTTGCATTTACTTATGTGTAACACGTGTGTAATGTTACTCTGGCAATGTTTGGGCACTCACAAGGGCGGCGGCTGGCCCGTGCTGGTCGGCTTTCCGTGGGACAGCCAGCGTAGGGACGGCCGAAATACCCCCCCACACGCGACACCCCGAAACTAAGGGTGCGGGATGCGTGTTTACGCCAAAACTTGGAATATAAGCTCCTTACTAGGGTAAACACGCACGGCGCGAGTACCGAAACAACATCGCGAAAAAGTGTCCGCGGGCGCCTCGGCTGTAGGGCCCAGCTTGGGGACTGTGATCGTTTGGGGCGACATTCCCATAAGTGGCAGCGGCAGCGACACCGAGAGCGACACTGACAGTTTATCTGATGGCGAGACAGTTTTCAGCAGCGCTGGGGGAGCAGGACTGCTTGCGGCAATAGGCACCGGCGCACAGGCGGCCGCACAACGTGGCGAAGCACTTCAGGTATACCTTGCCCACGCTCATGTGCGCCGTATGGCTTCTGCCCCGTCGGAAACCAGTCAAAACCGTTTGTGTCGTTCTTGGCGAATGGCCCCGCATCCCGCAGGGTCCGCTCCAGAATCCCTCCCCACCATATATGCCGGCGTTCATGGAGTGGTAGCGAAGGGCAGTTGGATTTGGAGGTAGTTTGCCTTCTTTTATAATGCAAGTCATTTGTCTTTTTTAATGGCCACGTTTCTCATACATCATCATGCGGTGCTGTCCACGGATGACCGGCCTATTCTGACCAAAGGCCGCGCAGGGTTGCTACCGTATTAGTTTTGACCGTACGGCGTATTAGAGACCCCAAAATTTTTACGCCCGGCGTATGGCGTATCAATACGTCAGTTCAAAATCGAGGCGTATTACATTTCTTACGGCGTATTCACCCTGCAGTTATTCTTGCAATTAGCATACGCATTTTGATGGCGATCAAGAAAGCGTATTATTTGAATAGTTTGGCACTGCTCGGACGCGGCGCGACCAACTGTTGACTCCACCATGGACCTCTTCCGCCACGCAGAACTTATGACAAGAACAATAACTATCGATGGTAATGACATAGTTGACCACGAATGTAAAGAATTGTTCCGTGTATACTCTCTCGCGCGGTACAACTCTGGCCGACTGTAACCGGGCCCCCCTCCCCAGCAGCCAACACCGCGACAACGGACACGCATCACCGCAACATCAATGCTTCCCTAACCTTCCTCCCCATTCCCCCACCTGGTATCCTGACCAGATCCTAAAAAGAATTAAACGGAAACTCAGCCTCCCTAATCACGAAATAGATAACACCCTTAGACCCCCACCACAAAGGACAAGGCCTGCTCCCCGAGATTCCCTCTGTCCCTATCTACTATCTAGCGAAACCACAGCCAAGGGAACGGGCTTGGAATAAATAGCGGGGAAAGAAGACCCTGTTGAGCTTGACTCTAGTCCGACTTTGTGAAATACTTAAGAGGTGTAGAATAAGTGGGAGCTTCGGTAACGGTGAAATTCCCGCTCATCGTCCATTTCCCGAGATGTAACAAGGTCACCTTGCTTGTGATCAAGTAGAGATCATATCAGGACAATGTAACGATGTTCACAGTGGTGGCTTACACAGGTTTTCGCTTGAGAACACGGTTTCCATGATACTTGGTGGCCTGTACGACAGGAACCGGAAGTTTATTACGCCAGCAATACGCCGGCTTTAAAACATCAAACTTCTGGACGTATTCGGCGTAATAATACGCGCGTATTCCAGGCGTATTAATACACAATACGGTAGCAACCCTGAGGCCGCGTCATAAAACTGAACAACTAACGAGAAAACCTAACAATACGGCCCGCCTACAGGCCCGAATGCACTGAAATTTCACAATATTATATTAGAATTATAAACCTTCCGAGTTCATGCTAAACAGAATTCCAAAATACTACACCATCAAGGAAATTGCCACCTGCTCTTAAGTGGCAATAAAAGGCAAATAGGGCCGGTCATCCGTGAACAGCACCATGCTCCTTAGTTATCGCGCCTCGGTAGCTCATGCTTGGCTAGGTTACAAGTCGAGGCTTAACATAATTAGTAGTCCCGCTTTACGACCAGTCCGAAGCCTTGCCGGTGATGGCAACACCTCGGGTTCGGACGACATCTACGAGCTCGCGCGGATGCTCAGCCAGCAGGCTGCTAAGTTCCGTAAATCCATCGATGACGAAGAAATAAGCAAGAGCTACGACGGCTTTGACGATGCGACAAGAAGTGGCACGTTCGGTCTGCAGGTGTGCATGCTTGCGCGCCCGCGGTGATTGCGGCGGTACGAGTGGTAAAATCACGAATCTGATGGCTCCGGCGATGCATTTTGAACCCTATCCTCAAATGTTAGTGGTGCGATGGTTGCTGCTGTGTTTGTTGGCCCGCACAGCAAACCGCCCTCCCGACCCCATCTAGCCCAGCCCAGCTCGTCACCTGCCAACGCTACCCCGCTTCCATCTATCAACGCACACCCCTTCAGTCCAGAGCGCTTCAAATCTTCCATTTGTGTGTATCCCCTGGAAAGCTCAAGTTTGCAGAAGGCGATTCCACGTATCCAGGGAGGGGGTTTTTCACTGCCGTAGACATGTACACGTACCCAGGGCGTACGGCGGCAGGGAAACTAGGGAGGGGACCGGGCAGGCAACAGCTCCCTCTTTCAAGTCTTTTCTCTCCTCCTCCTCCTCCTCCTCCTCTTCCACATCATCATCATCATCATCATTTCCTCAAACTACTACCCGGGAATGGTGTATGGGCAAATTCCGTGCCTAGCCACACGCCCGGGTTGTCCCCCAGCTCCTGCGGCCTGTCCTGCGTACGTCTCCGCGTCTTACCCCGCGCTCAATCACCCGCCGTACGTCACCTACCACCCGCGCTCGGGCTCAAGCTGGGCGCCCTGTTCTGCCCGGACCCAGCATTTTCTCCTCCTCCTCCTCCTCCTCACCCTCACCCTCCACCTCGCACCCCCTGTTCCGGCTGTCCCTCACTCTCAGCAACTGGGGGAGCGCGTGTTTCGGGAGGTTGGTCCGGGCTCCTTTGACTCGGCCGATTTCACGGAGCTGGATAAGTACAAGGTCATGCGGGTGAGAGGAGGGGAAAAGAGGGAGGAGGGAGGGAGGGGGGAGGGAGGGGAAGTGCCTGTGTGCGTGTGTGTGTGAAGAATTTATGTATCATGTAAACCGACCACCGACACTACCACCAGTACGGTTTGTACGAGAAGAAAATGCAACTCCCGTTTTTTGCTTAATACCACCTTTTCTACCTGGCTTCTTCTACCCTGCATTCCCCTACTGCTCAAATACTTGCCGTGTCACCTTCAACACCTGGAACCGCCCTCCACACCGCTTCTCACTCACCACATGACCAATCCCGCATCGTAACTCTCTCCCCTCCTCTCCCCTCCTCTCCCCTCCTCTCCCCTCCTCTCCCCTCCTCTCCCCTGC